CAGGTCATAGAATAAAATCTCAATAATGTTTGTATGTATTCTAGTTAATGATGAAAAGACAGAAATGAATAATTTAGGTCAAGCATAACAAAATAACATTATACAATATGAGAATGAATTGAATTGTAATGAGAATTGAGATGATGGTAATGATGAAATGTATTAATAGAGTTGAATATGATGAGAAATTGAGTTTTTAATAGAGTAATGAACAATGATGGGATTGTTTTAATGCGAGTAATGAAATGAAACAATGTGTTCTTGTTAATTTTCTCAGTATTCAATGATTTTAATGTAAGTCTCGGTTATTTTTGGAGAGTTGATGCAATACTCTAGGCGTGTGAAATGGGTATCTGATGAGATCAATTCTGCCTCATCTTTTTTTAAATCAGATCCCTTCGAAATGAAACTGTTTAGAGACTTTTGATATTCGATTATCTATATCTTCAAAGGACTGTCTACATCCAGTAATGTCATGATGTTAGAAATGTTGAGGTCAGGGAATATGTGTTTGTTGTCAGTGATAGTAGTTCTGTTAGGCTTACTATCTTGAAACACTGGTTTCCGTGACTTAAATATATTTTAGTAATGTTATCTGAACAGGTTCCATATCGCACAGTCGTTAGCAAGGCATGATTGTAATCCTGAGGAAACTTATGCTCCCAGCTATATAATTAAAGACGCAATCACTAAGCTATCAGAACACATTGTTTCATTTTATTACTCGCATTAAAACAATTCCATCATTGTTCATTACTCTATTGAAAACTCAATTTCTCATCATATTCAACTCTATTAATACATTTCATCATTACCATCATCTCAATTCTCATTACAATTCAATTCATTCTCATATTGTATAATGTTATTTTGTTATGCTTGACCTAAATTATTCATTTCTGTCTTTTCATCATTAACTAGAATACATACAAACATTATTGAGATTTTATTCTATGACCTGAGAAATGACTACTGTTTTATTTTCTATATCATGTATGCATATACACATGTAAGTATGGATCATTTTAATTGAATGATTTTGTATGGTATATTAAATTCTGGTTAATTCAATGATGAAATATTATATTGATACTGTTGGGTTAGTGATAAGTATTACTAATTGAACGCTAATATTCGGTTCCTAAGCTATTCTCGTAATCCCCAAGCTAGAACTACACAGCGACTTGAACACGGAAGAAAAGGGGCAAAATATGTGAGAAGCAATTTACTCCAAAGGTTCGTTTTAATACAGAAAATATGGTGGTTTTATAGTATTTTAGATGTCCTTGGGTTTCCCGAAGATTCTATAGGGCTACTATGTTTAGTAGCAGTATAGTAATCAGCCAATCAGAAACTCTACATGTGACTTTTCACTTTCTTGATGTTTCTAGGTAAACTTCAAGTGAACACTGATTGGATAAAATGCTTCTTAGTGTTTCCTGAGCCTTTCGCGTCTTTTTGTGAGAAGTTTTCTGGATCACCCCAACAGTTGGAGAATGCTGGTCGATGGCTTATGTTCCACTAGGAGTAACAGGCGTTAGTAAGTAAGTACTGTTGAAACTATCGTCTTGGCTAGATGAAGGATTGTAATTTGAAACTGTGTTTGTACACGTTCATAACACTAGATGGAGTTTGATTCAACACTTTAGGATCCCGACAGCTTTATTACGTTTCCGTTATATTTTAAAACCGGCCAATACACGTAGAAAACCTTAAACAACCACAGGAAGGATAAGGGATACCGATACTCAATGTTTGACGGTTTTCGCAATACTGACTAGCCCTAAACAAGGAGGAAGAAAACAAGACCAATAATCACCAGTTCAAGATCATTACTGTTATCACTTGTGCCCTGTTATTATATTACGTGATAACATCGCCAATTAGTATCACCGACTTATTGCTCTGACCAATGACGCATAAACCAGTACGAGCAGCCCAGAGTTCTTATTGGTCCTTGAGATAATAGCTTCTCGTCTAACCTAGCAGATTCAACCCAGATCGCAAATATTAGCCTACGTTATATGGAATCATAAATTTCAAACATACTTGGTTTATATACAAGCAAAATCAAACCATATCACACCATAAAACAGAAAATAACACTTGTAGAAGATGAAACCAAAAGTGGTTGTGGTTGTGAGAAACTGGTTAATAGATTGAGAATAATTTGAGAATAGTAAATCATATAACAGTAACCATTAGGTCAGCCCTTGAATGCCCTGGTACGGCCGAGATTGGAGAGAGTCAGCTCTCCCTCTCCAAATCCTCTCAAACAGCCACGCGCATACAGCCACTGTCAGGGAAGTCCTACTCACTATCTTCTCACGATATTACTGTTGTTTACGAAATTGAGAGGATGAAAAGCGAATGTCCGGCACATTAACCGGGTTGTTGAACACGGCGAGTCCACCTAGGGGAATGGGAAAATTCTGATTCCAAACCAATGGAGCACATGGGCTCCAGGATCCTAAAGGAACAAATGGCATATGAACCAATCATTGATCACCGGCTTTCATGGGACTACATCTCCTTACGTTGCTCCACTTCCTTGTGGATCAAACCTTTAGGTTGAAGTCTCCGAGTGTAGCCCTCTAAAAGAACCACTTGCTTCAGACATTTATTTATATACCCACAAGATCAGATCACTCATCTGACTAATTGATTAAAACAGTGTTAACACGGAACAACAACAACATTGATCGAATTTTTTTATCCTTATTCAAGTATCTTTTACATGTAATCACATCTGAAGAAGGGACATGTGATTTTATGAAATTTGTAAATATGTATTAATGAATTAACCTGGTAACTATTTAATGACAACTATTGTTCACTTTGATGTATACATCTTTGATTGTTAATCAGTGCATATAAAAACATTATACAACATATAACATCATTATTGTTTATAGCTGTATGTTACTAATGATGTTTATTCTAACGATTCATTTCATTATTTCATTCGACCCATTACAGCCACTTTTGGCTATATTTTGTACGTGTGTTATTTTCTATTTTATGGTGCGTTGCGGGCTGTTTGGTTGATATATAAACCCAGTATGTCTGAAATAAAGGATTCGATCCGATTCGGTTCGATTCGCATAGTGGGAACTGATATTGGTGTTCTGGACTCAAGTGGACGGGCTAGGCGAACATAGTATCAATAAGGACGCTAGGCTGCTCATACCGGTCGAACGTCATTGGTTTGGCACAGTACTAAGATTGTATAAGTCATATTTTGATTGGTGGATAAGTCACGTGATAGAAAGCGGACATAAAGTCATAACAGGCAGAATGAACAAATCTACAATAAGCTAACAGAATAAAGAACTCTTCGAAAATACCATTCTCAGAGGATTCCCAACTGTAAACTTTCCTTCTTTATCTGCATTATCCGAGATTATATTCAACCGTAAAGGATCATATTTTTTCATCAAAAAAGTAAAAAAAGTAAGTTGTACGTAAGTGAGTAACCTGACTTTTGATCGTAAATTTACTGAACACTTTATATGAGAATGATAGTTTTAATTCAAGAATAGTACTTGTAAGTAAATCAGCAAGCTTATCACTTACTTTGGTATATCTATCCACCAACTGTTATCCAGTTGTGTAGTGAACAGAACATAGGTGGGGACAGTCGAATGTATTTAACAACAAATTACAGAACCAGTTAGTAAAATCCAACAACTATATATTATATCGTTAATTTGCAAATTGTTCATCAATTGTCTCAAATGCCTCAGAATACTTTTGTTCTTACATTTTCATACAAATTGCATTCTTTCTTCATTCTTTGTTGTTCGATCTTCTCGTTTCTCTGCTGCCAGATATTCTGATCATGACTCACGTCATACACTACTTATGTCTACATAAGTAGCACACGCCACAGTTGTACTTAAACTCTTAGACATCAACTTCCTAGTTGCTAGGAATGCCACACTTTTAACTCGATTTTATGGTGACTTGTTTGAATATCCGGGCTACCTGTTCCTCAATACCATCTAGATATTTCAACAAGTTATCTATTTTCTTGTTTGTTTGTTTGTTTTAACACATCATTATGCTTATTAGTTGCACAACCTATTCAGGTGTAGTTCTGAAAAAGTGTACAACCTTTCATTGTACAAGTTACAAAAGGCCCAATCAGAGATATTGTGGTTGTTGGCAATATGGATCGAAAAGAATATACATTAATCAGATGTCTATTCATGAACTACTAACATCTAGTTGGCGATCACTCAATACGTTATCGTCAGGATCGATCAAGAAGTATGAAACGTAAACTCTTTGAAACACATTGTGCTGAGAATTCTATATTGTACCAAAAATATAATATTGAATAAAGCCGATAATAATCATGATGATAAACAGAAGCTTTAAGTATGTAAGAATCTTTACTTTGAAGGTTGGCTTATGTACGGGGAAACACTGGTATTTACTGAATTATGTATGACTTTGAGATCCTGGAAGCTACAAAAATTAGTCAGTCAGTCGTCAGACTGACACGTTAGCGTTTGAAGCGAACGGTACTGAGTTCGAGTCCCGGAATGAACATCAACTCTGATATGTAAGTACACCCAACTGACGAGTTCCAAAAATAAGATAAAACGCACGTCCTGGACTAATTGTTAGCCACTATCTATCTTTTCTTATTGTTATATCTAATCCATTGGGATTTCCTCGAGTGGGTTCGAATTCAATCCCTGTCGTCACTTGTTATATTTTGTTATGTCCCGATAAAAATAATGAGTGATAATTTTTGGGATCCATTAATGGACCAATACTATGAGTATATTTATATCGTATAATTGGTAAATAACTAAACTATTCATATTCATATCCCTCTCATTATGAGCTTTATTTTGACCTATGAACTATTATTATATGATTTATTATTCTTGAATTATACCCTATCTGTTAATTACTACCACCCACATTCACAGCCACATTTGGCCAAATCTTGTACAAATGTTGTTTCCTATTTTATGGTATAATGTGGTCTATTTGGTTGATATATGAACCCAGTATGTTTGAAATAAATGATTCATATTGCAGAGGCTGAGATTGGTGTTTTGGACTTAACTGGCTGGGCTGGGTAGTAAACAGGATCAATAAGTACTCTAGACTGCTCGTACGGGTTTACTCGTCATTGATCCAATCGATAATTCACTGTTTTCTAATTGACGGTATCATTACGTTATACATTAACATGGAACACAGGTCACAAGTTATAACAGAAACAATACCCTAATTTACAAAGTTAATTCATTCAACTCATTGTTATCAATAGTATATTATACAATTTAAAATTATAAGAAATAATTGCTTGTGTATTTTTTATCAAATAATTACAAATTAAAAAAAAGACGCTGAAGTTAACCACACATACATACATACATACACACACACACACGTAAACAGACGAATACATTACGTCTGATCAAGTATTCATTACTCTCATTACTTTGTATAATATTCAATTATTGTTCCTTTTTTGTACAAATAAACATGATATTTAACTGATCTAAGAAATTTTAAACAAAAAGCACCAAAAAATCTGTTCATATTTCCATACTTCTTTTAATCTACTGCCGTTGTCACCGTCACCATCGTCGTCGACATCATCATCATCGTCGCTGTCACCTTCACCGTTATCATCTATCATCATCAAAATTATATGATCTAATAAATGTGTGCATGTTTATTTAAAAATATATATGTTAATACTTGACAAATATAAAACAAAACAAAAACAGTTCATAACTAAACAAACAAAGAAAAATGTTTAAATTAACAACAACAACGGCAACAACAATAAAAAACAAAACAAGTCAACTAAGAATGAAATTTTGTAATAAAATTGAAAAGAATTTCAATGGAATATATGGTCTACTGTTGTTATTGCATACATATGTTCAATTGATAAACATATTGGAAATTGAATGGTAATAAAAGTTGATGAATGGTAAATAGTAATAATTAGATGTACAACATTACCATCTCGTAAGAAATAGGATTGTCATTCATCTAAAAATTATAATATAGAAAACAAAGAAAATTAATTACTATATATATATATATATATATATATATATATATATATATATATATATATATATATATATATATATATATATATATATATAAATCAATTGAACCTAGACCATCATGGAAAACATGGAAACAACTGGACGACCGTTTCATCCAATTGTGGGACTCCTCAGCAGTGCGCATCCACGATCTCATCTCGCGGGATTCGAATCCAGGACCAACTGGTCTCACACGCGAGCACTTAACCACTAGACCACTGATCCGGCATCCACCGGTGTTAATGTCTAACTTCAACTAATCCACGAAATTGAACGACACATCCATCAGTAAGTTATTATCTCACAACTACTGAGAAGTCCCACAATAAGACGAAACAGCCGTCCAGTGCTTCCAAGTTTTCCATGGTGGTCTAGCTTCAATTTACCCGTGATCTCAACAATTGAAATTACTAAAATCTCCGCAAAACCCCTTTCTGATATACATAAATGCATGTTAAACAATATTGAAATGCTATTGGTTCACTGAATGACCTTCATTTTGATTGGTTGACCAATGAATGATTTTGTTCTATGGTAAATAATTTATAATCATCTGATTATTAATTGTCTTCTGAATAATCCTCTGTTAGGATTATTCATTTCAATTTGTGTTATCATAAAAAATGTATGTATAGTATCTGATTGTAAATAACTTGATGATATCATTTTAGAGGCTCTCAAATGCCTTGGTATGGCTGAGAGTAAGGAGAGTCAGCTCTTTTTCTCCAAATGCTCTAAAATGGTCACGTACATATAACCATTGACAGGGCAGTCCTACTCACTAGCTTCTCGCGGGATTACTGTTGTTTACGAAATTGAGAGAACGAAAAACGAATGTCCGGCGCTTCAACCGGATCGGTGAACACGGAGAGTCCATCTAGGTTAGTGGGAAAATCCTGATTCCAAACCAATGGTGTGCATGGGCTTCAGTATCCTGAAGGAACAAATGGAATATGAACCTATTGTTGGTCACTGGCTACCGTGTGACTGCATCTCCTGACATTGTTCCACTTCCTTGTGGATCAAACTTTTAGGTTGAAGGCTCCGGGTATGGCCCCCTAAAAGAACCACCTTCTTCGGTTTGTGCACATGGGCAGTATCCTAGCCCTCACACAAATCGAATGATTTATGTGGTACACATCCATTTGGTGCCTCCTTGTACCAATGTTTATATGTTTAAATAAATAAATAGAGGCTGGGATATCTGACAAAGGAATCCAAAGAAAGAGCTTCATATCATTCGAGATACCTCAAGTTGATTTATATTTGTTTTTGATGTTCTTACAAACATTAGAACCTAAAATTCATTAGTCTAAGCATCATATACTCACAGTGTTAAACCACCGGTGTATTCTGGAGTTAATCAAAAGACGATATGTAGAATCAAGATCCGTTGTTAATATTTTTATGCCACTAGAACATCTATTATTTAATATAGTCACTAATGATGCAATATATTTCACAAGATCGCTGTTCTAAACAAGAGAAATAAAACTGGAAACATATCAAATTATATCCATTTTGTTGAAATTCTATCCTCTGATCTGAAATATAGTTCAGTCATAAAGCTTTCATTGTCTTCCTAGATAGCATTATCATCACTTCAAACTTCTGATAAGAGTGGTGCAAGAGAATCCCTCCACAAATGATTAGCAATCTGTTCTCCTGACCTTGAATTCAATTAGTTACTTATGGCACTTCACCCTGTCATGATTGTTACATTTATTTTGATTGTGTTGTACACAGTTTACATTATAATAAGTCGGAATTATGAGTAGTATATAAAGGTATTTTTTATAAATATTCTTCATTTGATGGTAGATAACTATTATAACGTTTTAAATTTGTCATAAGCAGAACAAAGTTCACTTTCTGGATTCTGATTGCTTTATTAATGAACTGCACAACTTCACTTTGATTTTAGATAATTTTTCAAGTTATTACAATAACTGAACTAATGATTTCTTTCCAAAATGTGTATACCCAATTAAAGAGGAAAAATGTAACATCTTGCTTACTTTTAATATTATTCGACTGAAGTATTCGACTGGTTGTATTTAAATGTTGTAGATGATGTTCATCTTGGTATTGATGTTGATAGAGATTCTTAGAATGATGATGATGATGACGATGATGATGATGTTGACTATTACATCTTCGACGATATTTATCTATGGATGGACGCCTTGTAAGAATTTCTTTAACATGTCCAGAACAATCACTTGCAGAATCTTGATGTGATAAAGACAATTCACTGGCACCGGTATGCATACTTTCATAACCACTACTCGATGGTCCACCACCTCCACTACCGCCACCAAGGGCGCAACCACCACCACTTCGACGAGATGATCGACATACTGATGCAGACAATTTTCCACTGTAAGTTAAGATTTATTGAAAATAAACTTACAATGTTTCGTGATGAAATAAAAACACTATTGAATTTGAAATATATATATATATATATATATATATATATATATATAAATTTTCCAACAGTTTGGGTTATGGATTAACATTCACTCAAGAACCATGAAAACTAGAATAAATTGAATAGCCGTTTTCGGCTACAAACGGGATTCTTCGACGGTATCCAACCACGACATGAAAAAGAATGGATCTGCTGAGGAGAGTTCAAACAATCTAATTCTTTTTTTGTTGTTGCTGTCAAATGTTATTTTTCTGTTTGACCTTCACTATTATCTGAATGATTGTTATCATTTTTAACTTACTTATTTTATCGTGTTCCAAGGTCATTGAACATTACTACATAAGCAGCGTTAGTTTATTTCTCTTGTTGACTCCTTTTCTCTATCTCATATTAGCCTGAGGATTATTAACGATATGTTTTCGTGTGCCAATAACCATTCTATCGAATCCTTCATAGAAGCCGTTAGTTTTAAAATAATCTGAATCGTTCGTAAATAGCAATTACCTAAAGCTCATCAGAACCACAACCTCAAGATTCGATAGCGCCTCATAGTTTTTCATACACGCCCATTATTACATTACATTTAGACCACTGTGTTGGTATTCAGCAACTAACATTTCTGAATTCAGTCATTTTCTGATACAGGATAATGATAGTTCAGTGTTATATCGATCACATCTGTTTCATTCTAAAGATGAGTAAACTAAATCAATGAAATATACATTGAAGTCACTAACTTCCAATTTTAGCCATGTTGGTAGATGCAGACTACTTGGTTAGGGTCCATGTGACTATCGTAACCAATGGTTGGAGACTCTGAGTGACATAGCTCAGAATCGGTCACAATAGTATAGGTGTATACATTCATTGTCTTCGTTTAAACTATGAGATTGAAATTGTTTTATATCTTTCTTTCTACAAACTAATTCTTTCTTCCTATACTATATCCTTATATGCATCATTGAATTAACTAGTTCTATGAATCCGGTGTTCATCTTTTTGTGTTAATGAGGTATGACAACTTGAACAGATACATATATGTACCTGGTCCTACATTGTAGCTGATTGACTGACTGACTGATTAGTGTTCGAATAAAGTCATTCATCATTTCTACCTCCAACAAAAATTAGATTAAAAAAAAAAGAAAAAAAAAGAAAAATTAAAATCTACCTAATTCCATTAAATCCATTAAATGAACTATTTGATAAACTTAAATGAATATCATTTTTATATTGATTAAATTCATTATTTTCATATTGATTATAATTATATTGATTTTTTATTGATTTATATTGATTAGATTTTTGTTGATTAGAATTAATTATTAAATGATCATTTATTGAATATTGATTATTGAAATGTTGATTAAATTGATTGATAGAATTTGTAACTATCATAGTAGTTGAAGGATTATTATTATTATTATTATTATTATTATTATTACTAGTAAATAAATTTGAAGGGAGACTTATTGTATGAGGGAGATGAGAAGGAGGAGGAGGAGGATGGTGATAATGATGATGATGATAATAATAATGATCACATATAGTAGATGATAATTGATTTGATTTTTCATTAGAATTCAATGATTTTTGACAATTTGAAGAGCTAAAAGAAGTTAATTTTACCGGTTCAATTTTATTTATACGATTACCATTATTATTATTATTATTATTATTATTATTATTATTATTATTATTATTATGAATACATAAGGTTTGTTCATTTCTAACAATCATCTTATTTGTTTCATGTTGAATTCTATGATGATGTTCTTTTTTCCCTTTTCTAAGTAAACGTAAACTACGAAATAATGGTAAAGTTAAAAATTTTAATGATAATTTCATTTTAGCTTTTTCTTCATTATTTTGATTCACTAAACTACTGAATTCATTTATAGTAATAGTATTGGTATTAATAGTAGTAGTAGTATTCGTAGCTATACTAGTAGTAATTTTATCACAAATATGAGGATGAGGAGGAGGAGGATGATAATGATGACGATGAATAGATTTATGTTCTTGTTCTTGTCTTTGTTGTTGATCAAGATTTATTGATTGCTGATAGAATTCTGTACAATATGCATGTTTTGATGTACATATAGGTGATATATTATGACTATGACTATTATTATTATTATTATTATTATTATTATTATTACTTCCGTTTTCATATGATTGAGGATGATCATTATGATGTTGATACTGATGATACTGATGATGATGATGATAATTATGATGATCATTATGATGATGTAAAGAATTTAAATTGATCATTTGATTTTGACTTATTTGTCCATTAATAACTGTTTCATTATTTAATTGATTCATTACATTTGATGTATTCAATGTAGTCAATGGATAATTCAATGAAGATTGTAAATTTTGTAATTTTGTTTCTTGTAATGATAAAAATATTGGAGTAGAATAAGATTGAGGAATTTTACAAATATTTTCAGATTGAATAGGATGAGATGAATAGAAATGTATATTTGTATCATTGTTATTTGATAAAACAGATGGAGGTGGAACTGATGGAGATGAACTAGAATCAAAGAATAAAAAAAGAAAACAAAAAGCAAGAGATAGTCTTAATTATATTGATATTGAAATTTTCCAAGAAAATTATATTTTTAGAAAAAAACTCCACCCCTTCTATGTTATTATTAAGAAGAAAGATTTGTGGATATTGTTCAACTTTTTCAAAACATCATTAACACTATAGACAGACTATTGGAAAAAAAAACACAAGAAGAATAGGGATCCAAAATCTGTTCATTATCTTCAAACCACTAATCTGTCATCCGATACCGATCAATTTCCAATGATCATCTATCACTATTAATCTCATATTTTATATGGTTGAACCCCATTCAATGGTTCCTTAATCATGTTATTGATGTTGTGAAATATTTCATTTACAAAATTTACACTACTAATAAGTAGTTTGACGTATTAGTAAACTTTTATGCGAGCTGATGTAAAGTGTAATGGAATTCAGAAAAATATTTCAGTACGATGATATTTTTAAGAAATTCCTTGAATAGTTTGTATTTGATCAGTACAATAAAATACGATTTTCATTTCTATGGTTCAAAAACAAAATATAATATTTTAGTTTCTCCTACTGATATAGACAAATGAAAGTTGGCACTTACCATTTAATAGTTAAATTTTAGGCATTAACATAGCCATAATTATTCATGTTTCATCGTTAATAATAGGTCACTACTCATTAATTAATTCTGAATAATTAGATTACGCAATAATAATGTATATAAAAAACAACACTGAAGATCGATAGAAATACACATTTTGAATGGCGGAGAATACATATTTAGTTAAGATTTTAGCTGACTGTCTAGTATAAAAACACGATCAGTTAACTTACGACGCATGTCCACCAACTCAACCAATTAAAGTGTTTATCTGGGAACATTAGTGAATGATGATATTATCTGAAGAACTAAAAAAAATGAAGAGGAGCCTGCGGCGATTACTTTGATTTACATTTCGTTGGAACTATTAAATCATTCGTATTTCTTATTCTTTGAAATACAGAACCTATGGACTTTTAACACAGAGAGTTGAGGAGACTTTTAGACTTTTACTAGATTTTAATAGAAAACCAGGAGGTACTGATGGTATTACCCTAGTATGGAATTCCTCAACAGTGCACCACTCAGTAGTGCGTATCCTGCGGTACTCGAACCCAGGACCGTCTGTTACGAGCACAAACGCCTGACCACTGAGTCGGAATCCAACGTTGTTAATGCCTAATTTAAACCAACTAATAATCTTCTAAAGATTAAACATTCGCGCGAGATCAAAGATCCTGAGTTCCAATGACGCGTGCGAAATCATTGATGAGCATTGTTGAGGACCTTCATACTGGGACGAAACAGCTGTTCAGTGCTTCCAATCGAAACTCAACAATCTCCACAACACCATAAAAATAAATTAAAGTCATAAAAAATTTTTGTTTTACACAATTCAAGGTGCAATAAATTTCTAACACTTTAAAATATTGCAAATTTATGACAATACACTTGTCACTGTTAGCCACTATCCATCTATGCATATTATGACCCACAATAGTTTGCAATTAAATAGAATACAGTTGACAGCTTAATTATTTATTTCTAATAACCAACAATCTTATTAGTTTTGCCTTTCTATGATCAACCAATTCTATCAGTTCTAATATTTTTTTTCATATTTAATAGTTCAATTCATAAGTCGATATAAGATAGATTACCATGAAAAATTTGAAAGTACTAGATGATCATTTCATCTTAATATGAGACTTTTCATGTTATCAAATTACACTAGAATCTATTAAAATTTATATACTACGTCAAGTAAGTAAGTAAGTAAGTAAGTAAGTAAGTAAGTAAGTAAGTAAGTAAGTAAGTAAGTAAGTAAGTAAGTAAGTAAGTAAGTAAGTAAGGAAGGAAGGAAGGAAGGAAGGAAGTAAGTAAGTAAGTAAGTAAGGAAGTAAGGAAGGAAGGAAGGAAGGAAGTAAGTAAGTAAGTAAGTAAGTAAGTAAGTAATTAAGGTGAATATTCAATTAATATAGTTTTACCTATACAATGAAACTCCTTGTCTATTATCAATTGTTTCATTGAATTTTAATCGATTAATTGAATTAATTAATGAATCATTTTGTTTTATATAATTTAATGAACCAATTGCAGAATCATTCAATGTAGATGGTGTAATTGAATGAATAGAATGATTTGAACAATTTTTTTCTTTTATAAAATGTGATTTTATTGAATTCTTTGTAGTTATCATATTTGAATATGGATAATTTAAACAAGGATATGAATTATTACTACTGATATTATTATTAGTAGTATTATCACTAGTAGTAGTAGTAGTATGAATAGTAGTATTAGCAGTATCATTCACATTATTATTACTGTTTTTATAATAATGATTACATAATGAACAATTGATTGTATCATCAAAATGTATTGATTGACATGAATGTGATGTACTAATGGAACTAACCCATTCAGCAACACGAAATAATGAATTATTAAGAGTATTACTATTAAGATTAGTAGAAACATGATGATTATTATGTAATAAGCTGTTTGTCAATTTCTTATCAACTACTGGTGTATTCAATCTTGATGATGTTAAATGTTGACATTTCATTTGATTATAGTTACAATGATCTGGTTGACTAGATTGTTGTTGACATGGATCATTAATTGATATATTAAAAGGAACAATAGTAGATTGTGAAATGTTTCTTTTATTAGCTTCATTGTTCTCTTTAAATTTCATACTAGAAAATAGAACACAAACAATAAGAATAAAGAGTTGTTTGTTCAGTAGAATATTTCATCATTATGATAGATAATTTAGAGTGGAGATTGTTTGTTTCGATGTAATTATTCATATTTTGAATGAGATCATGAATCTATTAATGTTCGATCATTATTGAAGACCTAAAAGTACTGCACACTCGTTTCGTCTTATTATGACACTCCTCAATAGTGTGCATCCGCGATCCCGCTTGCAGGATTCGAATCCAGGACCTTTGATCTTGCACGTTAACGCTTAACCTCTAGATCACTGAGCCAGCTTCCAACGATGTTAATGTTTAACCTCAACCAATCCATGAAATTGCGCAACCATCTTCCATTATACTGAGGTAGACACCTGGTTTTTAATGGTGATCTTACATCAATCAATTCATGATCTCATTCAAAAACTTAATAATCTCCACGATCCCATACTGATACTGATAAAAGCTTATATTTGATGGAAGAACTATTGAAAAACAGAGACTACTGAAGAGCGCGTTCCCACCAGCGACTAAACAAGGTATTGAATATCGACAACCTTCAAGTTTAACGATCCAATAGTATTGATTCCCTTGAAACATTAAGTTATTCAAGACGTATTTTATCACTGATAATATTTAGAAATCAATGTACATTTATCTAACTAACATTGAACAACACCTAATCATACCAATCGCCTACTCAAAATGATATAAAGAAAGCATAATTTCAGTCTTTTTAGCCCAGTGACTAAATGTCGAACTCAATATTCCATTAACAATAATAAACTTGGAGTTCACAGAGTTCAATTAACTGTCAATTACAGATTACCATATTATTGAATCAAGCTTATTGATCCCCTTTCTAAAGCAAAACTATTACCAGTAATAAAAACAATTTATTTATTATAATAATAAGGCGAAGTCGTTACTCTTCAAGTTCTTTATCTGAGAAAAAACTGTTAATTCTCTAAATGCATTATGCCTTCATTTCTTTCTAGTCTATAATTTTAGCATATTGTATCATACTACTTAATAATAGTATTCAGTAATTAACTTTGCTTTTCATGATTTTCGGTATATGGTGTACCACACTTCATTATCCTTGTGTGGAACTTCTAAGTACTCATATAAATTCTTAATATTCAACACACTTATTACTATAATTGCAACTTCCCAACGTTTGTACAAATTACTTCCAGTTTTTGTACATTCGCTGGAACTTTGTTTAAGTGTAATAGTCTCCAAATTTTACATTTTATTATTTATTTTATTTTAACACATAGATATTGGTACAAGGAGGCACCAAATACATATGCGCCACATAAATCTCATTTGATTTGTGTAAGGGCTGTGGTACTGCCCGGGTGCCCAAACCGAAGCAGGTGGTTTTCTTAGGGGGCCACACCCCGAGCCTTTGACCTGAACGTCTGACCCACAAGGCAGTGGAGCATCGTAAGGAGATGCAGTCACATGGTAGCCGGTGACCAACAATTGGTTCATACGCCATTTGTTTCTTCAGGATACTGGAGCCAGTCCATGTGCACCATTGGTTTGGGATCCGGTTAAAGCGCCGGAAATTCGCTTTTCGTCCTCTCATTTTCGTAAACAACACCCTTGTTGAGAGAAGGCAGTGAGTAGGACTTCCCTGACAGAGGCTATATACGCATGGCCATGTGAGAGCATTTGGAGAGGGAGAGCGGACTCTTCCCACTCTCGGCTGTACCAGGGCATCTCCTCTCTGAAAGTTAACAATGGTTATTGGCTTTAGACACACACACAGTTGCTAGCAAATGCCTCCCAATCCTATATACTGGCGTATTGAATACCAAAAAAATACCTCAGGAATTAAAGTCTGTCATACCATTTTATAAACAAAGTCATTGTTTTAGAATCAGATTGTTCCCGCTTAACTCTATCGTATGATCAGACAGATCGATTAAATAATATTATACTAAAATTTCCAACCCCTCCCCCCCCCAATTATTAAATAATGAAAACTAAAAGATAGTGGAATGATCACAACAACAAAGTACAATACATTACAATACTGAAAGTATACAAAACAATGATTGTTACCTTGGTGATAAAGAAATTCGATTCTCTGAATTCGATGTACTAACCATATCATGGATGGTAACGGGTTGTTTTAATTGATTAACAAATTCTTGATTTAATAATGTTGATTTAGTATTATTCATATTTAACATTAATTCTTCATCTTCATTTAAATGATTTAAATACTAATTAATATAAAATGAATAGTTTAAGAAAAGTTAATTTAGTCATTTTAGTCATTATCTGATATTAGAATATATAACATTTATAATTCAATTGTTTTCCCTTGACTGTGTTCATCTAACCTGTGATGAAGTTGAAACAATGTACACCTAATGATATAAATCAGTCAGCCAAAGTTAGACCACCATTGAAAACCTGATAGCATTGAACAACCGTTTCGTCCTAATATAGGACTCTCTTCAGCAACCTACATCCATGATTCTAAACGCAAGACTCGAATCTAAGACTTTCATCCTTGCGCGCAAATCTATACCCTCTAGACAATTGAGCTATTATTGTGTCAGGTGTGAGACAGTTATCCACCTCAGACAATGGATGAAGGTTTGTGGAAGATCAAGGATCGATTGTAGTTGGAAATTAACACTGTTAGATGCCGGCTCATAGGTCTATAAGTCATACGTCCGCTCGCTAAACCGAAGATATTGGGATGTAGTCCTGCGTGCGGGACATGTCCCAGCCATTTCAACTGATGAAGTTTCATTATCTCATCAATTGATTTACCATCCTTACCTATTGCCTGTGTCCTAACAACTGCGTTAGTTACCCGGTGGTCCCAGGACATACAAGCAAGGTTTCGAAGGCACCTATGATCGAATACTAGTAACCTGCTGTGACGACAAACCACGGGTAAACTCGAGGAAGCTGTATGAGGCTCAGAAAAAGCCGAAGATATCCCATCCAATCACCTTTTGGAAGAATATTTTACAATTTCTACGTGTAGCTCCCCGATTGGACAAATGCTTATAACCCCCTGTATGCGGATTTGAGGACTGTAATGATGATTTCGTTCTTACTAAAAACTATAAATACCTGACAATATTGTACTATAATTGACACTGTTTGGAATGATATTCCTTTCATTAGTCTTCTGTCTTCCCCTTGTGACTTTGAAGGGTTTTGGCGTTCTAGTTCTCAGTTATACGCGGTATATCAAGAAACAAACCTTCTAGATATAACACCTACGAATATCCTCTACTCTTACCGTCCATGTTTCAATGACATAATGTAGAACGAAACGAACTGCTGCACAGTAAAACCGTCCTTTGGTTGGTAGATGGATATGTCGCCTAGGCCATAAATGACACAAGTTGGCAAAAGCTAGACGAGCCTTCTCTATCCATGCTGAGATTTCGTCACGCACTAGACCACAAGGGTTGACGAGACTCCCAAGATAAGTGAAGCGGTCGACACGCTCAACTACTTCACTCCCTATCATTAGTACATGTGTCGATGCAACCCAATCCTGAAGCAACATTTTCAATTTCGAGGAGGAGAATCGCATTTACTAAAGTGTAGACTCTTCCTATTTGAAGTCTACAAGATGATTTGAAATTTTAGATGACATGAATTCAAGAAAAAGAAGATTCGTTCTTAATCTTCTACATTTTCAATGTTAACAATTAACCATACATTTTATTGTACAGTAAGATCGGTTCCTAACTGATTAGATTTCCCACATTTATTTATTCTCTACATCATTAATGTCATGAGTAAGTTTATTTAAACAGAAGTGTTTACAGTAAATTTCACTATTGAGTTTCATAAACAAAATTAACATGAATAAAAATAAGCGGATATTATTTGTTATTACTCTGTTAACATTTTTAGGGTAAAAACCTTACTTAACTCTACTTACCTGAGGTACATTTACAGTTGTTACATAAGATGTTGGAATTGTGTAATTATTACACTTTGATGCTTCACGGATTTGTCTTCCAATATCAAGTAATACTTCCGTAGGTCTAGTATTATTAATATTATTATTAGTAGTAGTAGTAGTATTCATCATGTTAGAAAGATTAGAAACATTATGATCTGTATTTTCTAAAACAGAGTGAAAGAATGATTGGATAACAGTTAAGAACTAATAAGAATTATATTCTGTACAATTGAAAAAGGAAGGTCCTCTAAATTTTGATTTATTTCTTTAAACTACTTTAATTAAAATGTAGTAGGCAAAAATAAATTAACAAAATAATTCGCCATGATAACTCACTGTTGGCAAGCGTTGACTAAATACAGCTTAGATCACTCATTAACCTGTAGCAGTATAGTGAAGCATACTAGAGAATACAAACTAAACAGTTAAAAACTAACAGGTCCAATGCTTTCTTTTAATTTCAAGTGCTATCAAATTGTAACAAAATTATCTTATTGAATCTATCCTTAAATCTTGCTTAATGTTGTCTTCACAAAAAACTTCGGTGAGACTATAATTTATGGTCGACCTTTGAGCGACGCTAAACTGACCTTGAGAGTGCCCACTTATTAACCAAGACTAAACGAGGGATATGATCCTGTGTGGGAAATTAAAATTATAATTTACAGTTGATGATTAAGTTTAGGAATTAGATATAGGGATTTCATCACAAAATGACATCAGGTAAACGAATTCCACGCCAAAATCAGAGACCTGATAACTTATACCTGATTGGCTCGCGCATAAATTACAGTCTCACCGACTAGGATATTGACTTTCTAATCAATTTTTAGTCGACTGAAAATTATTACATTGAACCATTTTATTTATTTATTTATTTAAACACATAAACATTGATACAAGAAGGTACCAGATAGATATGCACCACATAAATCATTCGATTTGTGTGAGGGATGGAATATTGCTCGGTTTCCCAAACCGAAATAAGTGGTTTTCTTAGGGGGCCACCCTCCAGCCTTTGACCTAAAGGTCTGATCCACAAGGACGTGGAGCAACGTCACGAGATGCAGTCACATGGTAGCCGGTGACCAACGATTGATTCATACATCATTTGTTTCCTTAGGATCCTGGAGCCCATGTACACTATTGGTTTGGAATCATGATTTTCCAACTCCCTTGTGTGAAACCTCCGTGTCCACCAATTCGGATAAAGCGCCAGACATTCACATTTTGTCCTCTCATTTTCGTAAACAACAGTAATGCCGCGAGAAGTCAGTGAGTAGGACCTCCCTGTCAGTGTTTGTATCCACGTGGCCACTTGGAAAGGGGAAGCTGACTTTCCTCACTTTCGGCCATATCAGGGAATTTGGAAACATTCAACCAAGCAAACCAGAAAGCAAAAATATGAAAGAAGGTTTATTTTATCAGTACTCATTGTTAAATTCAAATTATATACTAGTTTTAAAGCATTTGTAGAGCACATCTACCATTCAGCATACCCTCCTAACTGTCTTTAACCAAGTACCATCAAAACTTAGTACAAGTAGATAAGAAATCATTTAATCTATTGATCATACATTACAATATATTTGACAACATTCGACTAACACCACCAAAGGATAACATAAAAAAAATAATAAAATTGGTTATTGATTATTCAATAATCAAACTTATGATGAAGTTTTTGTTTCCTGAACTGAATGATTTGATCATGGAGCTTTGATTGTTCATTTAACTTTAGGTAGAAATGAAGTGTTTGAATCTCTCGACATGTGGTTCACAACTTGTCCTGTAGACTTCGATATTGCTCTGTTCTAGTTTGCGCGCTGATGATGATGTCATTCAGAAGAACGACAAAAGCTCTATGACTAAACCATTCAGTTCAAAGGACAAAACTTCATTAAAAACATTCATCGGAGCTATAAATCTTCTCCATAATCTCAATAATCAAACTAGAATATCAAATAAGAACTTTTGAACTAATGATAATAATAATAATAATATCAGAAGGGGTTTCGTGGAGATTACGAGTAAGTTCAATAGTTGAAATCATGAGTCAATTGATGGTCGTTTCGTCCTAGTACGGGACTCCTCAGTAGTGCGCATCCACGATCCTGCCCCCCCCCGAGGTTCGAACCCGGGACTTATCAGTCTCGTGAGCAAACCCTTCACCTCTAGACCATTGAGCTGGACAGTATCCAATGATGTTAATGTCTAACCTCAACCAATCCAATTGGTTCCCTATAGTTATTGTTTTATCTGATCTAATAATAATAATAATAATAATAATAATAATAATCTCACTTTGTTTATCATTCAACATACTACTGATTGACAATTGACAACAACTTGTATATAAATTATTAAATGTTAATAAATTAGTTGATAATTCATCTTTTAATGATAAATTAATAAGAGATTGTTTTATAGAATTTGATTCATGAATTGTTTCAGCATCTTCAGTACATTCAGATATATCAGATAATGCTCTTGGTATATTATCAGTTGGATTATTATCTAATGTAGAAAATGAATTATTCATTGAATTACTACTGAAATTATTTTCAGTAGTAGTATTAGTAGTAGTGGTAGTAGTAGTAGTAGAAGTGGTAGTGATGGTAGAATTGGTAGTCGTGTTAAAATGTTGAATTGATTTATTCATAGATGTAGTGTGTATATTTTGTGCTTCAATTGAATTTATAATCTGAAATAAATAGAATTTTCTTAAAGAAAAGTTTTGATAGATATACCTAAACATAGGTAAGCACAGATAATCATAACTTATTTACTTACTTACCTACATACTTATGCCTATTACTCCTGGTGAAGGTGCATAGACCACCCATCAGCATTCTCCATTCAACTCTGTTCCAAACAATCCTTTCCAGTTCTTTCCAGTTGTTATTCATTCTTTTCATATACGCTTCTATTTCCCGACGTAATGTGTTGTTTGACCTTCCACTTTTCCGATTCCCTTCACAATTACAAGTTAGAGCTTACCTCGTGATGCAGTTTCATGATTTCCTCAATATATGTCTTATCCATTTCCATCTTCTCTTCCTAATTTCCTCTTCAGATGGAAGCTGGTTTGTTCTCTCCCACAGTAGGTTGTTGTTGTAAATGGTATCCAACTAATGGATGTTGAGTATCTTGCGTAGACAGCTATTGATAAATACTTGTACCTTCTTGATGGTGGTTGTTGTAGTTCTCCACGTTTCAGCTCAGTACAGTAGAACTGCCTTGACGTTCGTATTGAAGATTCTGACTTTGATATTGGTTGAAAGTTGTTTTGAGTTTCATATGTTCTTCAATTGTGAGGATGCGGTCCTTGCTTTGTCAGTCCTTGCCTTTACGTCTGCATCTGAACCTCCTTGTTCATCGATGATGCTTCCCAGGTACGTGAAGGATTCCACATCTTTCAGAGTTTCTCCATCAAGTGTGATTGGGTTTGTGTTCTTCTTATTGTATTCCCTTTGTATATATTGAGGCCTACTGATGCAAAGGCTGCTACCCACAACTTATTAATGATTAAATTTAATTACTCAACTGCTGCCAAACTTTTTATGACACTATAGTGAATTTGTTTGTATAGCCGATCCACCTCTGTAACTGTTATTATATATAAATCTCAATGGTTTTGGAATTCAGAAGGCAACAAGAAGCGGCGATTACAGTTTATTAGAGGATAGCACACATAACAAATCTACAAGCACATAGACCAAGTTTGAAGCAAAGAGGCGAATGTGTGTATGTGAGTGAATACAGAGGCGAATTAATGGTCAAATCGAATCAAGATGCAAATAGGAAAAGCAAGAGCTAATCATAGGATTCGAGTGCATATACATATCACATGGTTTTTGTGGATATTATAGTAATTTCAACAGTTAAGAGCATGAGTCAATTGAAGCTAGACCACCATAGAAAACCTGGAAGCACTGGACAGCCGTTTCGTCTTATTGTGAGACTCCTCAGCAGTGCTCATCCACGACCTCGCCCCCTGCGAGATTCTAACCGAGGATCTACTGGTTTCGCGCTCGAGGACTTAACCATTAGATCACTGAGCCGGCATGCAACGGTGTTAATGTCTAACTTCAACCAATCCACGAAATTTAGCGACATATCCACCATTGTCTTCAGTGAGTTAATATCTCACAACAGACCTGGTTGAATTCCACTGGTCACTACATATACATATGAAAAGGAGAATGATTTATTGAGCGATATTTAAGCGATTAACATTTAAGCTAGAAAGATATATATATATATATGCGTAGATTGTCACATGTGATCATAGACCAGTTACTATTGCTCGAATTACATTGTCTGTTAAGTAAGTTAATAAAAGGGCATAACAAAATTTAATCATAATCGAAATTGATTGTAGAAGAATTGCTATAACACAAAAAGGGGCCTAAATCACTTTGCAATTATATATTTAGGATGAGTATAATTCAAGTGTACCAAGTTTGGAAATCCATATATGATTTTTATCTAACTATAGATTGTATATGCTACATGTTGATAACAACCCCTGTATAGTATACTCACCACATTTGTTCCTAGATAAATATCTTGCCTACACAACTCAACAAAAAGTAAGTGAACCTTCTAAATCTGTTCTAGGACTTCCTCGGACAACATTCTATCAACCATGATGAAACTTTCATGAAAAATAAGTTGATCAGTTCACTCACATATTTCACTCCCTTTGATCAATCCAGACAATGATATCAACCAATAAGTAACACATCCAAAACATGTTGACATTTTTACTCAAGGCAATCAGAAGACTCTTCATTTTATCAAAATGTTTACTAACTATACCCTAATAACATCTTTTCTGTGGGTAAAACATTACTAACAATAAAAAAATCTCAATGGTTGAGATCATGGATCAATAGAAGCTAGATCATTATGGAAAACTTAAAATCACTGGACGGCTATTTCGCCCTAGTATGGGACTCCTCCTCAGCAGTGTGCATCTACAATCCCAACTCACAAGATTGGAACACAGGACCTATCACTCTTGTGCGCGAACGCTTAACCATTAGACCACTGAGCTGGCCGGAATACAACAGTGTTAATATCTAACTTCAACTAATCCACCATTATCTTCAGTGAGTTACTATCTCACAATAGACCTGATTGAACTCCACTGGTCACTACTTCTCACTGAAACTCCAGGAAATACATCTTGAAGACAGTCACTAATGAGCATATGTTGATTAATACCAGAAGGAGTTTCAATTGACTCATGATCTCAACTATTGATATTAATAAAAAAAAATCATTTAACATACTGTTTCCTCTTTCATTTGTTCACATAATTCCTCTGTATTTGATAGAAATGATGTTTTAATATGATCTTTAATCAAATTATGTACAACATTATGATAGGATGGTGGTGGCGGTGGCGGTGGCGGAGGTGTTGGCGATAACGACAACGACGGTTGTGATAATAACAATGATCCATTTGATAAATTTACAATATCATTTCTTTGTTTAACCGATAATGATAATGATACATTTGGACCATCAATCCAAGTTTCTTCAATTCTATTATTATTCATTGAAGATGATGATGACGATGTTGGAGTCGTTGTTGTTGTTGTTGTTGTTGTTGTTAAAGATTGTAAAAATTTTCTAGATTTTGTTCTATTCATAATACGAGGCCATACAGTTGCATTAGTTCTAGGAATCATTCGTTTAACTGTTATCACATTATTCATATTTGATAATTCAGTAATATGAGTAGTATGTTGATTCTATTTAGATTTTTTTTAAAAAGTAGTATAAAAAGTAATGAGTTTATTATGAAGATTTACATTGTAAAATGAATTCATGTGTTATATAGTTGTGTTATAACTTGTGGCTTTGTGACCCCTATCAATATATATATATATATGACGTAATGATACCGTCAATTAGAGAACAGTGATTTATCCACCGGACCAATGATACATAAAACTCGTACGAGCAATCTGAAGTCCTTATCGGTTCTGCTTCCTGCCTAGCACTGCCTGTTAAGTCCATAACCCCAATCTCAGCCTCCGCCATATGAATCATGTATTTCAAACATATTGGGTTTATATACAAACCAAACAAATCACATCATACCATAAAATAGGAAACAACGTTTGTACAAGATTTAGCCAAAAGTGGTTGTGAATGTGGGAGAGTGTAATTCATAGACAGGACATAATTCAAGAATGGTAGATCGTATAATAATAGTCTATAGGTCAAAATAAAGCTTTTAATAAGAGGAATACGAATATTTAGATAGAATACGTATAGTAATAGTCCATAAATAGATTCCAACAGTTACCATTCATTATTCTCATCAGGATAATAACAGATTCAATGTCATATTGTAGAAAAACCATGAACCATCTTGTCAACAAGTCTGAACTAGTGTAAAAAGCCGATGTTAAATGTAATTTCCTACTGATCATTTACAATTAATTAACATCCAACCGTGGTACATTTGGGAGCTGAAACTTGGAGAACTACTACAACCATCATCAACAAGGTACAATTATATATAAATAGTTGTCTATGCAAAATACTCAACATCCATTGGTTGGATACCATTTACAACAACAACCTAATGTGGTAGAGAACAAATCAGCTTCCATCTGAAGAGGAAATTAAGAAAAGACGATGGAAATGGATAAGACATATATTGAGGAAATCATCAAGCTGCATCACGAGGTAAGCTCTAACTTGTAATTGTGAAGGGAATCGGAAAAGTGGAAGGTCAAACAACACATTACGTCGGGAAATAGAAGCGTATATGAAAAGGATGAATAACAACTGGAAAGAGATGGAAAGGATTTCTTGGGACAGAGTTGAATGGAGAATGCTGATGGGTGGTCTATGCTCCTCCACGAGGAGTGATAGGTGTAAGTAAGTAAGTAACTACTTCTTTATCATTGTTAATGATTCTTTAACTGTTCTTGATCAATGATTAAAACTATTTTGAAATTTCAAAACTATAATATATGTCCAATATATTTGTTTATAAATCTGTCAATTCTTTTGAAATATTATACAAATACTTTATGTATTCATATTGTACTTCTAACATGTAATTATTACCATATTTTAAACGGTTATTACCGGTAGAACACATGATATAGGTTTATTACTATTTAGAACTCATTGATTATAAATACCTGTATACTTCAAGACATGAATCCATTACCAATCGCTTCAAAAGTATCACTCAATAGGCTTACAAATAACAATAGTCATTATAATTAACTCCTATACAAAATTCATACAGAATTCATATATCAACAAATAGGTTGATCATACTGACGATAGGAATAAACATACTAATCATATCTTAGACAACTATTGAAAACCTAATAACATTGGAAAGTTGTTTCATCTTAGTATTGGAATCCTTAGTATTATGATTTCTTAACCCTGTAAGTGATTCAACCTGGAATCCTAAAATGTTACGATTATCTCTTAATTCTCTAAATCTTGAGTGCTGTTAGAGGTATGAGGGCGGTTATCACTTCCCGGTTGCCCACACCGTGGAAGGGTTCTTCTGGAGGTACCTGAAAAGGAAATTGGATTAGAGTTGGTCATATTGACCTGAGAGCTTGACCGCAGTGCCCAAGGGAAAGCTGCTTCAGGTCGGTCACACACGACCTTTTTATGAGTGATTTTTGTGTTAGCTCCGTACTTGTTGAGTCCTTACCGCCGGAGACGGATATCCGTGGGATAAGGCGAGGTGTGCATTTTTAGGGTCGACATTTTTTAACCCCACCCCTCCTTGTGGGAAGCCAGCATCGCTGTCATGCTGGTTGTCTGAAGGAAACACCTTACTGCTGTCACACCTCTGTACAGTCAGCAGTACAACTTCGCCTTCGGACCTTGGTTTTGTTGCTTTTAGTCTTACCGCTCTTCAACCGACCTGTCTGGCATGGTAGGACCTTGAGGAACGGTTGTTTCAGCCAGTATAGCTCAGTTGCTTCACCACGATAGGCAAGCCCGACCACCGCGTCAAGGTAGCAACAACGGTCAGGGGATAATTGGAAGAAAGTTAGGGGCGGCCAAACCAAAACGTGGCATCAGTGCTTGAAGTCACTAACTTCTGGTCTGAGTCATGTTGGGAGATTCAGACTGCCTGGTTGGGGTCCGCGTGACTATCGTAACCAATGGTTGGAGACTCTTGGTGACATGGCTCAGAATCGATCACAATGGCGTCGGTGTATACACTCTCTGTCTTCCTTAAATTAAGAGATTAAAATCGCTTCATATCTGTCTAGGAACTAATTCTTTCTTCCTTTACTATCTCCTTATACACAATCTTTCTTCTATATATTACTACCACTGAATTAACTACTTCTATGAATCCGGTGTTCATCTTGTTGTGCTAATGCGGTATGGCAACTTGGACCGATGCATATACGTGCCTGGTCCTACGTTGCAGCTGACTGACTAATTCTCTAAATCATTAAACTTTCATAAAATGGTTTAAATTTTTAACTTCAGTTATGATATCACATTCTTTCAAATTTATCAGTGAATAAATGATTTTCATTCGATATTGGCTTAAATTCACTATTCACAATTTCTGACTAGAGCACCTGGAATTAGAAATGGGCAACATCAACACTTCACCTCATTGAACAAGCAGGTGACTATCAGGACTTAGTTGCTAAGTGGATAACATGATGGTGTTTAAAACAAACGATACTGGATTCCAATCCTAGAATGAATATCAACAAATCTGGGATGCAGGTACATCCAGCTAATGAGATCCAAAAAAACAGGACGAAACTCATATCCTAGATTCCAGTGTTAGCAACTATTCATCTTTGTTTAAAATACCAAGTGAATTGAATAATATCCAAAGTAGTGATATCATCAACAATCAATAAACCAAACCACCTGCTTTTACTCATTTGCATAACGATAATAATAATAATAATAAACGGCTACTTATTGTTGATTTAGGTTAGTAACTGTATAGATAATTTTTTTTTATTCTTTTAATCAATTAACTTTATTTATTTTGAACACAGCGGGAATTCTTTAAAATGAAAATTCAATATTCAATATTCAAGTTACATATTTATAATTGACCTATGGCATGTTCAAACGTGTGCATCGTTTGTTTGCTTGTTTGTTTGTTTGTTTGTTTGTTTGTTTGTTTTTTATAGATAAGAAATGAACGATTTAACCTTTGATCTACAATTATTATTAGTAAACATGGCGAAACTATCAACTATACACGGACCAATCAGAGTTAAGATAACAGATCTTGGATTTTACCCATTTGGCCAAATAATGTCTTGGCATTTTAGCTGTCATCAGTTTGTGATGAAAAGTCATAAATCTAATTCCTAACTCTAATTATTATCGGCTGTGAATCATAATCCTTATCCTTCAAACTATTTTATAACCCTCATTTTGCCTTAGTAATTAGGTAGACAATCTTAATGTGACTTTGGCGTCACTCAAAGGTCATCCATAATTTATAATCTTACCGTAAACATTGAAGAAAATTGGAATAATAATACTAGTAACCTATTCTAAGTATATTCTGAGACAAGTTGACTCTGTATATCTAACTATATAGATAAACATGTTGCCATATTGGTGTATTGTTTTTATATTTGTATCTATGTAAGTACATATGTGTGTTTGTGTTAGTCTGTGTATCTATTGAATTTCAAAACTCACGTTTTTTTTTTAACCTAAAACGTTTCCTCAACTTTCATCTACACAACAAAAAAAATAACAAATATTTATGTCGGAAGGGTTTTTGTGCATATTATAGTAATTTCAATAGTTGAGATCATGAGTCAATTGAAGCTAGACAACCATAGAAAACATGGAAGCACTGAACGACCGTTTCGTCCGATTGTCGGACTCCTCAGCAGTACGCAACCACGATCCTGACCTGCGAGATTCAAATCCAGGACCTATCAGTCTCGCGCGCAAGCACTTAACCACTAGACCACTGAGCCGACCGGCATTCAACGGTGTTAATGTCTAACTTAAATTAATCCATGAAATTGAGCGACACATCCACCATTGTCTTCAGTGAGTTAATATCTCACAATAGATTTGCTTGAACTCCACTAGTCACGATTTCTCACTCGAACTCCAGGAAATATCTCGTGAAGCTTATTACAGAAATCCATTCGTTTGTTTTCTTAACTAAATAAATCAGTTTAATAACTATTTTGTCATTACGTAATAAATTAAACTATCGATCTTACCTGATCCATTGAATATTGTTTAAGCGTTTCATCATTCAAAGCTATTAATTCTGATGATCCTCTACAACTATCGGTTTTATCCATTATATCTATACTTCCATCAGCTAATCCTCTTGGACCTAATTTTTTAATAGAATATGATGTAATACGACTATCACTTAGACGACGTTCACCTTGTAATAATTTATTATTACCAACATAAATTACTGTATCACATGATTGTTCACCACTTGATGTACAATCTAATTCAGAACTACATGATCCTAATGATCTAGCATATGATAAACGACCAAGTCTTGGTCGTCTATGTAAATGTTTTGATTGATTTACACGTAGAATATCATTATCTGTATCGTTTGATGTTGATGAACCAATTTCTTCTTGACTTTTACTAGTATTCAATGATAATGGGAATGATAATTCATGATCTTTAATTAACGTGCCAATATGATTAATAACAATTTTACGACGTCTAAGACGATTTATTTCCGTAGCAAGTTGTATAACCTGTAATAGAAAAATAAAGGAAACATATACAATATATATATTGGATTATTCTAGATTTTTACTTTTTTATTATTTGAACACAAAGGGGCACCGAATAGATATACGCCACACAAGTCACCTGATTTGTGTGCGCTCTATAATACTGCCCAGGTGTCCAAACTGAAGAAGGTGGATTTCTTAGGCAGCCACATCTAGAGACTTTGACCTAAAGATCTGATCCACAAGATAGTGGAGCAACGTCAGGAGATGCAGTCCCATGGTAGCCTGTGACCAACGATTGATTCATACGTTATTTGTTCTTTCAAGATCCATGATTGATTTGAACTCAGAGTTTTCCAACTCCCCCTAGGTGAATTATCCCTGTCCAACAAACCGGTTATAGTGGCGGACATTCGTTATTCATCTTCTCAATTTCGCAAACAACAGTAATGCCACTAGAAGGTATTGAGTAGGACTCCTCCGTCAGTGATTATGTAGTGAACAGAACACAGGTGGAGACAATCAGACATATTCAACAACAAATTACAGAACTACTTAGTAAAATCCAACAATCATATATTAAATCGTTAATTTGCAAACTGTTCACCAAATGTCTCAAATGACTCAGAATCCCTTTGTTCTTGCATTTTCATACAAATTGCATTTTTTCTTCATTCTTTATTGTTCGATCTTCTCATCTCTCTGCTGCCAAATATTCTGTTTATGACTCACGTCATATACTACTTATGTCTACATAAGTAGCACACGCCACAGTTATATGCACGTGGCCATGTGAGAGTATTTCGAGAGAGAGTGAGGAATCTCCCCACCCTCGGCCGTACCAGAGCATTGGAGGGCCACTTTATAGTGCTTAATAAATGTATTGTGTCCAGCATTCTTGGTTATTTCCCCATCCAACTGATGGCTATGTGTTGCATATTACAGTGTATTTGCACAAAAGATTTTATTTCAAGACCTAAATTTCACTTTTTTTGTGTTTTTCAACCAGTATGTCTGGTACCCTACACAGAAATATTCACAACAGAGCTTCATATAACTTCTGATACTTGATATGAAATGTTACGTGATAATTACTCTCCAACAGGCAGTACTCACACACTAGATGAACTGAAATATGAAGGAAAATCTTAGATATTAAATATTGGATAGTTAGAGATAATCTCAGACGTTCTTATAGTAAAAGATACCAAAATCCTACACACTTTCCTGCCCTTCTACTAATCCTGTTACACGGTTGCATAGTTATAGACTTCTAAACGGAAATCCTGTTTACTACTTTCATGCAACTGAACTGTTTTCACACAAATATAACATAGTGAAACCCAATGCTATAACTGAATTAGTGTATAAGGAGTTTATTATAATTCGAGATGTTCAGTCAATCAGCTACAACGTAAGACCAAGCACATGTATGCATCGATCCAAGTCGTCATACCTCATTAGTACAACAAGATGAACACCAAATTCATAGAGATAGTTACTTCAGTGGTGGTAATATATGAAAGAAAGATTGAATATAAGGATATAGTACAGGAAGAAAGAATTAGTTCGTAGAACGAAAGATATGAATCGATTTTAATCTCTTAGTTTAAAGGAAGACAGAGAGTGTGTACACCGACGCCATTGTGATCGATTCTCAGCCATGTCACCCAGTCGCCAACCATTGGTTACAATAATCACACGGACCCCAACCAACTAGTCTGAATCTACCAACATGACTAAGACTAGAAGTTAGTGAAGCGAAGCATTGATGCCACGTTTTAGTTTGGCCACCCCTAACTTTTTTTCCAACCGTCTTCAACACTAGTCAACATTGTGCGTTGTGGTAATCGGTGTTCAGGCATACTCAACACGTGGCCCAACCATCTCAGTCGATGAAGATTTACAACCTCATCCATTGATTTACCATCACTCCCTAGTACACTATGTCTAACTCCACCATTACTTAATCGGTGATCCCAGCAGATGCGAACAATATTTCTAAGACATCTGTGATCAAATACTAGTAGCTTACGAGTATCTTCTACTCTTAATGGTCATGTTTCGCAGCCGTAAAGTAGAACAGAACGAATTGCCGAGCAGTATACTTATCCCAAAGAGATGTTAGATAATTTTTAAGTTTAATATTCATAATTAAATAATCTCTTGAACATTTATATACTTATAATTAATCAATACAACGAACCTGTAATGTTTCTGTATAGTATTGTACATTTTCAGATATATGAGCTAAGATACATGGTTGAATTTGATTACCAGTTATTGCTTCACGTAATAAATAAGTAAGTGAAGAATCATAATATGGTAATTGTCGTCTACCAGTCAATAAAGCTAATAAAACACTACCAATACCAGATAATGAAAGAGCTTTTGAAAGTGTTCTATGTTCTATTGAATTTAATTCTTGACTAAAGGTAGTTGTACAATTAGATAATGAATCTTCTATGGTTGAATATTTCAAGACATTATTAGTAGTATTATGAGTAGTATTGTTAATATTTTCATTTTTATTAAATTTTGAATGGTTATTAAAATTTGAATTATTTTCTACTGCAACACATTTGTTTACATGAATGGAATGTTGTCCATATCTTCCACAACCCAAATCAAGAAAATGAAATTTCGTTCTACCACCAGAAACTAATTGATAAATATAAAAATAACAGATATGATATATATAATGAATAAGAAGTATATTGTAAATTATGTTTGTTTGTTATTTGTCTAATCTAGACAAGATTTTCATGATAATAATGACAAATAGAAATACTTATTACATAGTGATAAAAGTCACTTACTTACTTACTTACGCCTGTTACTCCCAATGGAGCATAGGCCGCCGACCAGCATTCTTCAACCCACTCTGTTCTGGGCCTTCTTTTCTAGTTCCATCCAATTCTTGTTCATTTTTCTCATATCTATCTCCATTTCCCGGCGTAATGTATTCTTTGGTCTTCCTCTCCTCCTTCGACCTCGAGGATTCCATATGAGGACTTGTCTTGTGACGCAGTTCGGTGCTTTCCTCAATGTGTGTCCTATCCACTTCCAGCGTTTCTTCCTGATTTCTTCCTCCACTGGGATCTGATTTGTTCTCTCCCACAATAGGTTGTTGCTTATAGTGTCCGGCCAACGGATCCGAAGTATTTTGCGTAGACAAGTGTTAATAAACACCTGTATCTTTTGGACGATGGATTTCGTAGTTTTCCAGGTTTCCGCCCCATACAGTAGAACTGTCTTGACATTTGTATTGAAAATTCTGACTTTGGTGTTGGTTGACAGACAGTTGTTTTGAGTTCCAGATATTCTTCAGTTGTAAATATGCTGCTCTTGCTTTGCCAATCCGTGCCTTCACATCTGCATCAGATCCACCGTGTTCATCGATGATACTGCCCAAATATGTAAAGGTTTTTACATCTTCCAAAGCTTCTCCGTCAATTGTGATTGGATTGGTACATGCTGTGTTGTATCGAAGAATCTTGCTTTTCCCTTTGTGTATATTGAGACCTATTGCTGCTGAGGCTGCAGCTACACTGGTTGTCTTCTCCTGCATTTGTTGTTGTGTTTGCGATAGAAGAGACAGATCATCTGCGAAGTCTAGATCATCCAATTGCATCCTAGCTATCCACTGTATCCCGTGCTTCCCTTCAGATGTTGACATCTTCATGATCCAGTCGATCACCAGGAGAAAGAGAAAGGGTGAGAGTAAGCAACCTTGCCTGACACCGGTCTTTACTTCGAACGACTTTGTCAACTGTCCTCCATGAACGATTTTGCAGTTTAATCCATCATAGGAATTCTGTATGATATTGACTATCTTCTGAGGCACGCCGTAGTGTCGAAGAAGCTTCCATAATGTTGTTCTGTCCACGCTATCAAATGCTTTTACGTAGTCGATGAAGTTGATATAGAGTGATGAATTCCATTCAATTGATTGTTCCACAATGATCCGTAGAGTTGCGATTTGGTCTGTGCACGATCTATCCTTACGGAATCCTGCCTGTTGGTCTCAATAAAAGTCAGGCAGGCGTTTTTTCATAACTTCCAAGATCTTATCAGTCAGTAAATCTATGAATCCTATGATGTATAAGGTGAACTACATACTTGATTAAATCAGATTTCGTAATGGTTAGATCTGTAGTGACCTACTTTTATCAAGAGAACGCAATTGGTTTAATGCAAAACAATTATTATTATAACCAATTGTACCAATGATTGGTTTACTGTGCTCGTTTGTTTTACTGTGCTAATGACAACCATATTGTTCTCCCATTATCTTCCATTACATTTTTCCGCGGTTTATGACTCTGTACGCACGTACTCCTTCTTGTCAATTCCACTTGTAATCATTTTGGTACGATCTTGGTATTCGTTCGATACTACGAGATCACTAACGAATAAACTTGGTTACGATCCATTCTCGCTTTCTGATTTGTCTGGTACGCGCTCAACTTGTAGTGGTGTTCATAGTCAACCACGACTCGACTCCACGCTACAGATCAAGCGTATAACGGTTTGAACGATATTTTAAATTTGAAAAAAGCCAAGGTCATCTCAAGCATTCACAAGTCTGTTCGTATTGTTCAGAAAACCACATATTATTAAACGCAATTAATTAGCAACTGAGCAGTCTGGAAATAATCTTTAATACAGTTAAAATATAGATACAAAATATGTTGAGGACGAGACGGCCGTCCAGTGCTTCCAGGTTTTCAATGGTCGTCTAACACTGATCGATTCATGATCTCAATCAAAAACTTAACCATTTTCACAACCCTATATGAAAGATTAAATAAATTGAATTTAAGTATATACTATGCCTCATCCTACAAACTGTACACTGTGACTCTACATACACTTATAAAATGAAAATATACGAACAATCCTGTCCTGAAGCAAAACTCTTGATGTTCGCCATATTTTGTTTATTGAGATCATGAACCCATTGATGTTAGACCACTATTGAAAACCTGGAAGCACTGAACGGCCGTTCGTCCTATTGTGGAACTCCTCAGCAGTGGGCATCCACGATCCCGCTGGCGAGATTCCAACCCAGGACCTTCAGTCTCACGCGCGAACAGTTAACGTACTGGACCACTGAGCCGGCATCCAACGGTGTTAATGTTTAACTTCAACCAATCCACGAAGTTGCGCGACCATCTTCCATTGTACTGAGGTAGACACTTGTTTCTACCCGACACGGATTAGCTCCATATTTTTGTTATAAAAATCAAACTACTTAATAGTAAGCAAAAACATTAAACGAAAAATAAACAGTAATTTCGTTAGTGACTAGCAAAGAAATTCAAAATCCCTCGTTTCATCTAATGTTCTACGATGTATCACAGTGTTAATATTCACACTGAAGTCTAAGCTGACACCTACTGTTTAATATGCCAACCATTAAAAATAATCATAAACATCAATATTAACTTACTACTCATTTCACTGCTGTTATTCTCTAATTTACATTGATATAAATGTAATGTAAATAACATATGTGATAAACCGGATAAATTATTACAATTATGTACTGTACGATTTGATAATGCTGTATCAAGTAGATAAGCGGCTTTTTCAGCTGTTGATGCACGTAATTCACATAGATGTGATAATTTATCAATCATTTGAGCAGAAATTGTTTGTGCCTTTTCATAATTTGTTCCAAGACTAATTTTATTCATTAATGATGATGATAAAGAAGAAGAAGAAGAAGTAGAAGAAGTTGAATTCTTCTGTTGCATTGGTCTATTTGTTGTTTGTAAATAATGACTTGGTGATTTATCCGAATATTCTTCATCATCTGAAATGAATAATAATGACAATTGATATACAATTTTATATGTAGTGAGATGATAACATATAACATGCTTATCAAGTGATGAATATTGTTTCAATCCTAGTAACTAAGCTTTACTATAACCGTAAGTTTGTATTTTCCACCTTAAAATGCTTCTCTAATAATCTAAGTTGATAGTTACTTAAGTGAATTTCGAACAAAAGTAAAAAACATTCCCTAAGGATTGATTGGCTCACGTGTATGTCATAGTTTTACCTTATCAACTTTGAGATGATGCTTTCACGAGTGTCTTCGTAAGCATGTTCTACCAACAAGTGTAAACTGTAGACCTCCAATCAACTACCCAATGGGATGAAGAATAGCTGAGTAAAGTGGAAGAAAAATGATACACCTAATGATAACTGATGCACATTACAGGATCCGCATATACTAACACGTCATAGAGGACTAAAAGATCAAGCTACAAAGGATAATCATCTCAAAACATTTGGAAATCTTGATAACAGCCATCGAGATATCATGCGAACGACACAGAGGACAATGCCTTCTACTGGTATCAGTTCATAATAATAATAATAATAATAATAATAATAATAATAATAATAATAATAATAATAATAATAATAATAATAATAATAATAATAATAATAATCCAATAACACTTACATGATGCTTTTGTATTCGCTAATAAATCACGAAATTCTTCATTCAATCCAGTAATCTCAACAGCTGATATTCTTATAGAAAATCTTGTATTGTACCATTGTTTTTGATAATTTAATAATTGATATAACCAACTTATTCCACATGGAATAATACCACATTCCATTGGTGAGTAATCATAACCAATCATTGAGTGTGTTTTACCTGAATGTGGAAAAAATACATACAAATATATAACAAATATTGTGGACACTTAGTCCTTGAACAAATAACGTATGGATCTGTTGTTAATCACCGGTTATCATGGGACTGCATTATGGATTAGACCCCTATGTCAAGGGTTTGGAGAGTAGCCTCCTAAAGAAACTACCTGCATCGGTTTAAACACCCAGATAATATTCCAACCCTCATACAAATCGAATGATTTGTGTAGCTCATATCTATTTACTACCTACTTGTACCGATGTTTATTTGTTTAAATAGATTCGTGGGTTGGTTGAAGTTAGACATTAACACCGTTGGATGCTTGCAGACTCAGTGGTCCAAAGGTTAAGAGTTTGCGTGTGTGACAGATAGGTCCTAGGTTCGAATTTCACGAAGCGGGATCGTGGATGCACACTTTTGAGGAGTCCCATACTACGATGAAACGGCCATCGAGTGCTTCCAGGTTTTCCATGGTTGTCTAACTTCAATTGACTCATGAATTCAATTATTAAATGAACTATCATTCGATATGGAAATCAGTCGGTCCTCAATTATTGACTAGCATTTGAACAACAAGTATTATCATAAATTTTTATCATATCGACAAAAAAACAGTTAAATTCACGTTAAATGAGGTGTGTGTGTGTGAGAGAGAGAGAGAGAGAGAGAGAAAGGGAAACAGAGAAACGAAATGATTGTTTCCCACTGAAAATTGAACGGAGAATTAGCAAATGATTGACAGTTATTCATTAGGATTGATTTATCATAACAAGAAGCATTTAAGATTCATACAATTTAAAATAACAGTAAACCACATAAGTTCACTTGGTATTGTTGTTTACTTGAATCTTCTGATGGATCTTTAAGACTGCAATTGATCAGTCTCTTATTGGCATATGTACAATACGCATTATGCAATAGAGTTTAAAGCGAAAGGTACTGGGTTCGAGTCCCAGAGTGAACATCAAATCTGAGATGCAGATATATCCAGCTGACAAGTCCCAAATGGGATGAAACGCATGTCCTGGAGTTAAAAGCACATAGTGATATAATGTGACCGACCTCCAATATGCTTTATGTCTACAGTTCTAGATCGACTAGGCAACTATTATTGTTCCAGTTTTTTTTCCAAATCTATCCATAAGAAATTTTCTATCACGGTATGACGACCTGAAAATTGTTTTCGACCTACATTTCATCTAAGCACTCATTATCAATGTGTATCTGCCATTGAATGCATTTTTAATACTAAAAATAGAAATGGAAACGAAGTAAAAATGAGTCAGTCAGTCAGTCACCTACAATGTAGGACTAGGCACATATGTACATCGGTGCAAGTTGCCATACCTCATTAGCACAACAAGATGAACACCAAATTCAGAGAAGTGGTTAATTCAGTAAATGAGTAAAAACATAGACCAACTTACCAGTAGCTTTATGTCCAATAGTCAGTATACAACTATCTTTTCCATTCAACACAGCAGTTAAAGCATCATTGAGAACCATAGAATAAAATTCTCGCTACAGATCGTATATTTATTTATTTGAAAGAAAAAAACAAGAAACAAAAACATTGAAAATATATTAATTGTGGATTAGTTGAAGTCAAACATTAATACTCAACGGTCTACAAGTTAAGCGTTTGCACGCAAAACAGATAAAACCTGGGTTCGAATCCCATGGGGCAGGATCGTAGATGCACACTGTTAAGGAGTCCCATACTGAGATGAAACAGTTGCCCAGTGCTTCCAGGTTTTCCATGGTGGTCTAGCTTCAATTGACTCATGATTTCAACTATTAAATTGTCTATAACTGGAACTAATGTTTACGAGTATTTCAATGAAACACTATAATTTACATATTGATAACTAACCAAAACAAAGTGACATAGTGTAAACAAAACATTTTAGTACTTATTGAAACATTGAACATAATCCTATATCTTCTCATTACACTTTCCATTCGTCGATTTTATTCATTCTCTTCGAAGTATACATTTCTTATATTTACATATCTTTCCTGTTTTCTGCTTGTAATCTTATTGTTTTCCTTACTCTTTGGCTCTCTTGCTTTGTACTACCGTCCATTTGGACTGTTAAAGATTCATGACATGATTCTGCGTATAATTCTATACATATTGATTATTGATTGGTTAGAGATAACTAGTGAGAAGCTAGAATCGTTAATGTCACAATAAATGATATGAGTTCGAACCTTACAAAAACCGTACACTCTTTCCAAATATATCATAATAAAGAGTTTTGAATTTCATAGAAGCTTGGTCAAACAGGGTTTTATGTTAAATCCTTCCAGTTACCAACTTATATCCAAACATGGTGTACAAGATATTGAATTACTTAGATTAATGTTCACAATCCAATTGAATCGATAGAATCTAATCAGTATAAAAAGCCTAGATAAACATGATATTTGTCATTAATCAGTACTCAATCAACTATATATACCTCAGTTTTATATAATGTCATTCATGACTCGAAAGGATTGCCCAGGAACAGAGTTGGATGGAGAATGCTGATAAGCGACCTATGCTCCTTCGTGAGAAGTAACAGGCAAAAGTAAGTAAGTAAGTAAGTAAGTAAGTATGACTCAAATATATATGAGTGATAAATTCTTTCGACTGTAAAATTGAGCGAAACATACTTGAATCCGAGCATCAATCAATCAATGTTGACAAGTTCAAAATAGCATGAAACCTGGGTCTATGATTTTCTGTCAACTATCTCTAATCACATCGTTTTTTTTTATTTAAACACATAGATATTTGGTACAAGGAGGTACCAAATACATATGTGCCACACAAATCTTATTTGATATGTGTGAGGTCTATGATACTGCCTGAATGCTCAAACCGAAGCAGGCTAATCACATCTAAACACTATCTATAAGATTCAAAGTATACACAAAAAATACATTATATATATTAAGTTAACACATAATAGATATTGCTTTGTGGAATAGAAACAATAACATACTTTCAATGTATCCTGTGTTACAATATTATCAAATTTATAATTTCTTACAACACCACCAATTCCTCGTCTACGACGTGATGGTGTAGGATCCAACAATGTAATTATTTTTTTATTTTCATCAATTTGAATACAACTGGATAAAGATGAATTCGATGAAAAATCAGTAGTACTTTTATTCCCTTTTAAATGTATAGTATTTAATGGATTATTTGGTGATAATAAACTTCCAACTGTTTTCAATGCTGTTGTAGCTGTTATCGCTAAACCTTGACTGGTATGATGATTATTATTATTATCATGATGATGATGATGATGATGATGGTGATGATTGTTATATTCTTGATTGATGCAGATAATGACTTTGACCTAGGTAAATAAAAGTAATGCATTGTTTACAGAATCAAGAAAACAATAACAAGAATATTGTAATTAGTAATGGAATCTAAGACTGATCTTTTGTCATATTTAGAATAAGTCAGATGAATGTATCCATATCCCAGAATTGATATTCACTCCAGCAATAGAGCCAAGTTCGTTCACTACAAACACCATTATATTATTCACTCAGCAGCTACTGATTACAAATAGTCTATAGGTGAATATCAACTATGGAATACAGGGAAATACAAATGACTAATATCAAGAGAGAATGAAACGAAAGTTGTGGATTTCACGACTAGCTACATTCCATCTATTCTAAATTAGTTTGTGTCATAATGATAATATCAAGACAATCTGTACAAGCTGCATATATGTCAATCAAGACAGATCATATTTCAGCTAAAATGATAACCATTAGATAATTCAATCCAGCCCCTTATCGATAACTTCTACCTGAAGTTTGTGCTGATGATGTTGTTCAGAAGAACGATGAAAGCCCCATGACTAAACCATCCAGTTCAGAGAACAAAACTCTATCAAAATTATCTACCTTAGCTACAAATCTTTTCCATCATATCAGACAATCCGTACAAACTGTACATATGGATGCGCACTGCTGATGAATCCCACAATAGGACGAAACGACCGTCCAGTGCTTCCATGTTTTTCATGGTGGTCTGGCTTCAACTGACTCAAGATCTGAACTATCGAAATTACTACAATCTCCACAAAAACCCCTTCTGATACTAAACATCACATGCTCACTAGTGACTGGCTTCAAGAGTTATTTCCTCGAGTTCTAGTAAGAAATCGTGACAAGTGAAGTTCAACCACGTCTGTTATGAGATAGTAACTCACTGATGACAATAGTAAAAGTATCGCCCAATTTCGTGGATTAGTTGATGTTAGACATTAACACCATTGAATGCCGGTCGGCTCAGTGGTCTATTGGTTATGCGCTCGCGCGCGAGACTGATAGGTCCTATGTTCGAATCTCGCAAGTAGCGGGATCGTGGATGCGCATTGCTAAGAAGTCTCACAATAGGATGAAACGGTCGTCCAGTTGTTTCCATGTTCTCCATGATGATCTAACTTCAACTGACTCATGAATTCAATAGTTCTTTATTTAACTAATAACTCCATAAGAATAATCTAAAAGAATTTCTTTCATTTTCCCAGTCTACATTAGATATTGCCACGTCACAAAGACAACTCATTTTATAATCGAACAAAGCTTTAAAATAAAAAGGGGAAGAAACCATTTCTCCATTATCTAGAATGAATATTAATACTCATAAACACAATTTCTCTCTTGTATTTTGTTTTAATTGCATAACTATTGAACATTGAAATATGTATATACGACTTTGACTATTGGGTTCATTCCTTTTAAGTTATAACTAGTCATGACTCATCAATATATGAATGGATATACATAATTTCCCATACACACAAACACACACACACACATATATATACCCCTCCTTCAGTCATGAAAAAACAAAGAAACCAAAGCAACTGAGTTTTATTAAAAGCAAATAACCTAGAAAATTATCTCACTCACATTTTTTTTCTCTTCATTACATTTATACTTTCTTTCATAATCATTAATAAAGAGGGAAACATGACTACTACTACTACCCCCACTACAACTACCCTCACTACTACTACCCCCACTACTACTACCCCCACTACTACTACCCCCACTACTACCAGTACCACTACCACTACTACTACTACTACTACTACTACTACTACTACTACTACTACTACTACTACTACTGCTATATAGATTACTGAAAGACAATAAAAGAGAAGAAATATAATCAACCATCCGAATATTTTTTGCGCCTGAAACCAATAAGCTGTCTTTTAAATATAATTTAACTGAGTTGAATCATCAATCTAGGTCAATGGATAGGCTAATAAACAAACAAACAAACAAACAAACAAACGTTCAAGAAAATAACAATAGACGATATACACAAATAGTCTGTTAAGTATGAAACTTTTTTTGACAGACTGATATCTTTCTCTTGGATTAAATTGAATATGATATACTATCCTTCAAATATAAGTGAGTTTTAAATGTGTAAAACAATATATTCAAAGATTGATAGATCTATTTAATATCTCAATAGAAGATGATATACATCTACAATTGATTGATCACTGGATAGGGATCAATGTCATATTGTGTCAGGTCTTTCTTAGTGAAGATCGAATGCGAAGATTACAGGTACATCATGATGATGAGTACCAAATAATAAGAAACCTAGGTCCAGGGTTTCTTGTCGAATACCTCTAACTACCATCTTATGATATACATTGGTTGGAAGTTTCTAATTAATAGTGCCTAAAGACCAGTGGTATATATGATGAAACTATCAAGTGAGTAATGTTTATGAGGCTTAGAATTAACATTTATTGAAGTAGTTTGGATATATTTCAATCCACTGTCAGTTGTAATATATAATGATTGCTGGTATCATACTGGGAGAAAGTTAACAAAGGTCAAAAATGTCATCTCATCAGTGTATGCTCGTGAACGGCCCCCTAAGAAAACCACCCAATCCGATTTGGGCAGCCGGGCAGTATCCCAGCGCTCACACAAATCGAATGATTTATATAGTGCATATCTGTTTGGTACCGCCTTGTAACAATGTTTATGTGATCGAATAAATATAAATAAATGCTCGGGAAACTATAAATTCAGATTTTATTCCTATACGAAATTTATATTTATTATTTATTTAAACACATAAACATTGGTACAAGAAGGCACCAAATAGATTTGCACCACACAAATCATCCAATTTATGTGAAGGCTGGGATACTGCCACAGTGACCAAACCAAAACAGGTGGTTTTCTTAGGGGACCATATCCCCAATCTTCGACTTGAAGGTGCATTCACATGGTAGCCAGTGATCAACATTTGGTTCATACACTAATTGATCCTGCTGGATACTGGAACCCATGTACACTATTGGTTTAGAATCAGGGTTTTCCCATTCCTCTAGATGGACCCTCCGTGTCCACCAACCCGTTTAAAGCGCCAAACATTGGCTTCTTATCCTCTCAGTTTCGTAAAGAACAGTAATGCCACGAGAAGGCTGTGAGTAGGACTTCTGTGACAGTGGTTGTATGCACGTGGCTATGTGAGAGTAGTTCGAGAGGTAGAGAGGACTCTCCATACCCTCGGCTGTGCCAGAGTATTTGGGGGCAGCACTAACGCACCAAATGAGCGAAAAAAAATGCTCGAAAATAGAAAATATTGCAATTTCACTAAACATTGAAAAAGTTTAGTTATCCCCCTAGCAACACTGAGATTATTTTATTTTGAAACTATTGTCTAAATATATTCTGAACTCCATATAACGTGCTTCTTGTTATTTTAACTGGGTACATCATATGATTGATGATTTCGAAGGTGGTTGCAGGTTATCGCCAGAGTATACGGTCAGTTAATTTTATGCAACTTATAATAGGTTAGTTTAATGAAATAATAATTCACCAATGAAAAGTTGACAAAAGTCAAGAAATCTGTTTATTACATGTGGCCCCCTAAGAAAACCACCTGTTTTGGATTGGTCACTATGGCAGTATCCCAGCCTTCACATAAATCGAATGATTTGTGTGGTGTAAATTCATTTAGTACCTCCTTTTACCAATGTTTATGTATTTAAATAAATAAATAAAATCATTGGGTACTTCATTTTATTGATCTAAAGTTATCCACACATGTCTGTTGTGAATATAACATTATAGTGTATCACAACTTCCAAGATGATGAAAGCAAATAACATGAAATTTTTTCAACTTGAAATAAAATCTTCAATCAGAATGATGCCTTTATATGCTAAATTCACCCGTTAAATAAACAGAAAACTATTAGACATTGTACACATATTGAACATTAAGAGGTGGTTGCGTTACAAATTCACAAATATTTACCCCACCCCAAGTGTCATAACCTATTTATGGAGTACAGTTGTACTAGTTTTTGAGCTACGGCGTTTATATGTATAAAGCATTATAGATTCTATCTAGTTGACTAAATCGAAGCATCTGGAGCACATTTCAATATCTACTACCTACTGGTTAGAAATTAATCTCCTTGATCATTATCATAAATCTATTAATTATCCTTTAATTTTGATCCCATCTATATTTATAAAGATAAATTTAACTAACAATAATCACAAATCTACCTGATTTCATGTCAATTCCTTATAAATATCTAGATCAAATTCTAAAAAATAAACAACAACAACAACAATAACAAAGAAAAAAAGAAAACATCTTAAATACAAAACAAAATGTATACTGACTTTTCCAGTTGAATTTCCATTGACATTTGATCTTGACAAGATAGGTACAGATGTTGTTGCTGTGGTTGTTGTTGTTGTTGGTGGTGGTGGTGGTGGTATTGTTGTTGTTGTCGCTGCTGCTGCTGCTGAAGTAGATTTAGTAAATCCTAAATAATTTAATATATCACCGGGTAATATTGGAGGATTAACACGTAATAAATATGAAAATGTATAAGTATTTTGTTTATTACATAAATTTGTACAACATTGTGATATTGAAGATAATGAAGAAGATATAGAAGTAATAGAAGATAATAATGATTTTGAATTTATACTTTGTTCAAATGTCACTGAACGTTTAATCATTTTTTTATTTTGTTTATTTAATAAAGATGATGGTGAAGATGATGATGATGGTGGTGGTGGTGGTGGTGGTGGCGGTGGTGCTGATGCTGGTGATGGTGCTATGAAAGGGGGATGTTTTAAATTGTAGGAGTCTTTTTTGAATTTCGATGACATTATGATTAATGATTAAATATAGATTTAAGTGAACTGAAAGAAAAAAAAAAGAGAGAGAAGGGAAACACAAGGTTACATTTATCAAATTGAACTATAAATGATAGAATACAATGATAATATACATTAATAAATGCCAATTCTTGTTATAGAGTTTATTAATATTGGTAAAAAGAATTTGAATGATTCTTTCTATTTAGTGTTTCTTCTTTTTAGCAAGTTAGTTTTCTACAGGATGAGGTCGCTAATCCCATATCCAACACTCATTCTTTACCTGGGCTTGGGACTGGCAGTAACTCTAGAAGAGCTACAGATGGGAAACATCATCGATGAAAAATGAGGATCAGATACAGACGTAAAGACAACAAGCAAGAACAGAATTCCTTCAATTAATGAATATATGGAACCTAAAACAACTGTCTGTCGACAAATATCAAAGTCACAATCTTCAATACGAACGTCAACACAGTTAGTTCTACTATACGGAGCTGAAACTTGGAGAATTACTATAACCATCATGAAGAAGGTATAAGTATTTATAAATAGTTGTCTACGCAAGATACTCAACATCCATTGGTTGGATACCATCTACAACAACAGCCTATTGTGATAGAGAACAAACCAGCTTTCATCTGAAAAGGAAATTTAAAAAAGACAGTGGAAATGGATAAGACATATATTGAGGAAATCATCAAACTGCATCACGAGGTAAGCTCTAACTTGTAATTGTGAAGGGAAGCGAAAAAGAGGAAGGTCGAAGAACAGATATGAAAAGGGTGAATAGCAACTTGAAAGAACTAGAAATGATTATCCAGGACCGGGTTGGATGGAGAATGCTAGTGGTTGGCCTATGTTTCTCCACGAAGGGTAACAGGTCTAAGTAAGTAAATAACAATAAAATATAGTTGGTGAACTGGTTAATGTTTAATATTCTTTATAATTTTGATTAAACATTATTTTTTTGTCATGATATCTTATGATAAATCAGAAGAAATAGGTCTATATTCAACATTGACTAAATAAATGGATTATATTCACTTAGAACATTGAAGAAAGTGCACTTATGATTACCATGATACACTAGGCAACAAAACAAGTATACAGATCATAATCATGGTGAGACTATAATTTATAAAAAACCTTTAACTGACGTTAAAGTAGACTTGAGAATGTCAACCTACTTACTACAGCTAAATGATAGTTATAAACCATTGTAAAGGATAAGGTTGATGGTTTAGCATAGGGGTTAGATTTAGGGTTTTCATCACAAACTAACATTAGCTAAAATGCCAAGACGCTATTTGCGCCGAAATCCAAGATTTGATTAGTTCGTTCATAAATTATAGTCTCACCCAGATTCTGATCAGTTATGATCAGACTACAATTCATCATAGATATATGTTTTAATCCAAGTTCAAACACTTAATAATCACTCTAATATTAAATTAATAAGGTATATAGTCAATAAGTAGTATTAAAAGTAGTAATATAGTTTGGAAAGAAAGAACAAAATTGATCGAATAAAAAGTATGAAATATAATCAATATTGAAATTTAAAATTTAGATAAATATGTCATGATGAGAAGGGGTTTTGTGGAGATTTTGAGTAATTTCAATAGTTGAAATCATGAGTCAGTTGACGTTAGACCACCATGGAAAATCTAGAAGCACTGGACAGCCGTTTTCGTCCTATTGTGGGACTCCTCAGCTGTGCGCATCCACAATCTGGCACTCCCCAGCGAGATTCGAACCCAGGACCTACCAGTCTCGCGCATGAGCGCTTAACCATTAGACCACTGAGCCAGCATCCAACCGTGTTAATGTTTAACTGTATGTATGAACACATTTGCCATGTTACAACTAATTTCAGAACGCATTATCAATCGATGACTCTACCAATCAGTACGGTTGTTGTATTCAATAATCTAAAGGGTACAGAAAATCCTATCTTGTATAATTTATATCAACTAAATAATCTCCAAATAGTAGAAATAACTACATCTATGAATTCGGTATTCATTTTGTTGTGCTAATGAGATGTGGCAACTTGAACCGATGCATATATGTGCCTGGTTCAACGTTATAGTTAACTGACTGACTGACTGACTAAAATTATAGGGGAACAAAAGAACAAGTAACTGAATTCCTGAGGGTTCGAGAACATTATTGAAAGACATCACTTATTAATAATATACTGATGCTATTCAAAAAGATGTGCTGAATATTTATATTCTGAATTCGAATCTCATGAGGCGGGATCATGGATACGCATTGCTGAGAAATCCCCATACTAGGATGAAACAGCCATCTAGTACCCCCAAGTTTCTCATGGTAGTCTAGCTTCCATTAACCCATGAAAAAAATATATAAATATCCTTATTGAGTATTTGACTTAGGTAAGTTGTGTGAAATTTATTATCCCTCATTTAAAACAATGTATACATGTAAACATTATAATGATATGTATATTCAATGTTCAATTACATTATTTCAACATTTAACACTTCATATTTTCAGTATTATTTAAATGGAATGACAGTTCGATACACATTCAATTGAATGTTAAATAAATGAATAAATAAATAAATAATATATTGCCTGTATATCTATGTGTTCGTGTGTGTGTGTGTAAGAGAGCTAAGTGTGTTTCTCCCTACCATTTCATAAACTTGTCTCTTTGTTCTTTGTTTATTTTGTTTATTTTCAAATCCGAAAGGCTACATCAGTTGTGGGATATGTTGTCGATTGTATAAGTCAATGAATGTAACCTTTTTTCATGTCTAGTATGGTCATTGTTTCAAGTGATCTTTTTTTGTGGTACTGAAATAGTTACACAATGTTAAAAACAACAATAGATTCATGGTACATACAGTAAACGGTTTAGTGATTATTTTGAATCAATAGTCTAGTTTGAATAGTTCTCTGAAGTTTGAAATGACAGATATTGGATTGAAGTGTCAGTAAGAGTGGTAACATTTGAATTCAAGTGAATCCACATCAACAAGTTTCACATAATTAGTCAAACAGTTTCAAGGGAAGTAAGACATAGTTTATATGTGTATCCACTATCTTCTCGTCCCCAAATACCTTGGTACGGTCGAGAGTGGAGAGAGTCAGCTCTCCCTCTTCAAATGCTCTTACATGGCCACGTGCATACAACCACTGTCACAGAAGTCCTACTCACAGCCTTCTCGTGGCATTACTGTTCTTTACGAAACTGAGAGGATGAGAAGCCAATGTTTGGCGCTTTAAACGGGTTGGTGGACACGGAGGGTCCATCTAGAGGAATGGGAAAACCCTGATTCTAAACCAGTAGTGTACATGGGTTCCAGTATCATGAAGGAACAAATGGCGTATGAAACAATTGTTGGTCACCGGATACTATGGGACTGCATCTCCTTACGATGCACCACTGCCTTGTGGATCAGATCTTCAAGTCGAAGGCTCCGGGTGTGGCCTCATAAGAAAACTACCTGCTTTGGTTTGGGCATCCGGGCAGTATCACAGCCCTCACACATATTAAATGAGATCTGTGTTGCGCATATGTATTTGGTGCCTCCTTGTACCAATGTTTATGTGTTTAAATAAATGAATACTATCTTCTCAGTACACTGAGAGAGGAAATTCTTGAAATGAAAAGTAAACAAGTCAAGCAAATAAATTTAAACAACCTAACTCTGACCACACAGTAGATGAAATAAGGGAACTCAAAGAATGATATAACAAGACAATCTAAAATTTTATGGAAGATATCAACTGGGTATATCTACATCATTGTAATTAATGTCAAGTTCTTAATAGGACAAAAAGGGGAACCTTGAATTATATTATTATTTAAATCATTTATCTTAAAACATTTTAGCATAGCCATATGTTGAAAATATCATTCCCACTCCCCACTTCCTCCCTGAACAGTTTAGATGTGATTTCTCTGACTAGGACCTTAGGTGAAACAAATTAACATAACAATGAGACAAAATAATTGTTTATTAAATTACAATATATGTATTACATAGATTACCACTTACATTGAACTATTTTCTGGTCAGCGTTTTTTAGCGAGTTAGTTTTCTACGGGATAGGGTCGCTAACCACATGCCCAACCCTCCTCTTTTTTCCGGGCTTAGGACAGGTAGTAGCCCCACAGGGGATACAAGTGTTTATTAACAACTGTCTACACAAAATACTTAGGATCCGTTGACCAGACACTATCAGTAACAACCTACTGTAGTAGAGAACAAACCAGATTACAGAGGAGGAATAAATCAGGAGGAGCGCTAGAATTGGGTAGGACACACATTAAGGAAAGCGATCATTTATAGTAATTTATTGTGTTAACAGCAGTCTGCCTAAATCCGTCAGACTATGAATCATTTATACAGCCGAAGTAAAGCTATTCAGGTTAAATACTAAAGCTTCATGTCCAGAAGAAATATGTCCAACCTCTCCTTTTGCCTTGGTCAACTCCTAACATAATTAATTAATAATCATTTTGATGATTAATTAATACTCAATGATGATATTATTTTAAATTGATACATTTACAAAACTTGAATTTTATGCAGTTGGTTACCTTTACAGTCAGGCAGTCAGTCAGTTACAACGTAGGACCAGGTACATATATGCGTCGATCCAAGTTGCCATACCTCATTAGCACAACATAATGAACTCCAAATTCATAGAAGTAGTTAATTCAATGATATGGTATATAAGGATATAATACAGGAAGAAAGGATTGGTTCGTAGAAAGATAGATATAAAGCAATTTTAATCTCATAGTTTAAAGGAAAACAGAGAGTGTATACATCTTCGCCATTATGGTAGATTCTTAGCCATATCACCTAGAGTCTTCAACCATCGGTTACGATAGTCACACGGACCCCAACCAAGTGGTTTGCATCTACCAACATGCCTAAGGCTTTGCAAATTGCTTTATTTAACCTTAAAGTTTGTTTAGTTTTTATATAGTAAATAAAGGAATTTTATAATGATTGGTTTGATTTGTAGGTGGTATTCCTCATTGATCGACTTCACTT